TAATTAGGTTTGTTTATTTATTTATTTTAATGGAGGTGCTGGGGATTGAGCCCAGGACCTCATACATTCTAAGCATGCATTCTACTGCTGAGCTATACCCTCCCCCCTAAAATAGAATTTTTAAAACACGAAATATAGGCAAGCAGTGGTCTCCCCTTGCCCTGCGTGCCTGGCCCTGGCAGCAGCGTAGTGGAAACGTGTGCCTCGCTGCTGCTTCACAGCCCCTGTGCACCTGCCCACAGGTACCAGGGCGGAGGCGTGTACATCATTGACGTCTCTCAGTCCGTGGAGCACGACCACCCACATGCCTTGGAGTTCTTGAGGAAGGACTGCGCCAATGTCAATGGTGAGTGGACACTCGGACTTCCTCCAGCTTGCGTGCCTATTTGGTTGTGAACTCAGTTAAGCTGTTGATAGAAGATCTTGGCACTAAATGGTCTGATGCAGTGATACCCACCGTTTGCTGGGCGATGGTGCATTTTACCTCTTTGTTTCCCTCTAAAGGGTTTGGAACAACAACCTTTGCCCTCGTGAGGCTATCACTGTTTTCCTTCTGACAGATTTCTTTCTGAAGCACGGTGTTGCTGTGATGACTGTACGGGAGCTCTTTGAATTTGTCACAGATCCATCAATTACGCACGAGAACCTGGACGCCTACCTCTCCAAGGTGAGGCGGGGCGAGGAGGGCGAGGAACAGAAAACACAGTAATCAAAGTTACGTGGCGCTTCTGAGGGACTCATGGCTCAGCGTAACTTGTGTTCATTGTGGCAGCTTCCGGACACCTTTTCCTTCTGATTTCACAGATGGGGAGTCAAAGTGTAGCAAAAAGCCAAAAGGAAAGCCAGGTTTCTTGACTTTAATCATCAAGCAAGAGACACAGACTATCAAATTTGTGAATGTTTAGTAGGAAACCTGTTAGCTTTTGGTCATTAATTCCTTTCCCTTATTTCTCAGAGGCCTTTCTGAATCATAGAATTTTAAAAATTGTGGTAAAATACTCGAAGCATAAAATTTACCTTTTTAACCATTTTCAAGGGTACAGTTCCATGGCATTAAGAACATTGTTGTGCAATAATGTAAAGGAAAGTGGTCTTTGTTTTCTTTCCAAGGCCATGGAAATAGCATCTCAAAGGACCAGGGAAGAAAGGTCCAGCCAAGACCACGTGGATGAAGAGGTGAGATTCATGGTTTGTTAACAGCCTTAGGAAACACTTGTGTCTTGGGGCCTTTTTTTTAGTACCGCAGGGGCATGAGCTTGATTTTCACAGAAAAGAAGTTTTTTAAATGATGGTGATGTTCCCTTGAGACGTAACTCAGCTGAGCCAAGTTGTAGAATTTATGTCCCGTTACCTCCTTCCGCTCGGCGACCCGTTAGGCCGCTGTCCTGTGTGGAGAGCATGTTTACAGAACCTGTTGGAGGATATGGTTCAAGAAGGAAAAGCCTGTGTCAGTTAGCTGGTGTGAGCTTTGAAATGAGCTGATTATTGGGTCCAGTGCCATTGTAGATTTTAAGTGTTTATATTCGCTAAAAAGGAAGTTTGTTTTCCTTTTTTAAATCTTTGGAGTGAGTATATTTTTTGCGAAGGTGATTCATAGTTGGCGTTTAAAAAATTTTTAAACCTTTTTAGTGAAGTCTAGTCAGTTTACAATGTGTCAGTTTCTGGTGTACATATAATACTTCAGTCATATAGGAACACACATATGTTCGTTTTCATGTTCTTTTTCACCATTTTAAGTTTACTACAAGGTATTAAATATGGTTCCCTGTGCTGTACAGTATTAACTTGTTGTTCATCGAATTTTGTGAGAATCCTCCTGTATTTCAAAACGAGAGACACTCTGGCAGAGTTCAGTAGGTGTTCTGTGCGATTCTGTGGGTTTGTAGATGTAATTCTTGGTGTATTTGTGGGAGAGGGCGAGCTGGGAGTCTCTCTTCTGCCATCTTGACTCAACCTCTGGCTTTTATTTTTTTGGATTTTTAAATTCTCACAGCTGTTGGTGTGATGGTACTATAAGGAACCCTATACTTACCAGCAGTTCTGAGCCTTTTTTCTCTGTAGCACAGGGTAGACCAGGCAAGAACACGTCTCTGGGTTAGGCACGGCCAGGTGGTGCTTGCTGAGGGCAGCTGCTGTCTCCCGCTTAGAATGGCTTTCTGGGATGCTGACCGGGGAGAGAGTGTTACTCTAAGGGTAACCGTAGGTCGTGTCAGGTTTTACTGTTAGGGACAAATGATACGGGCACACGCACAGCACTCACAGCACAGTGTGTGCAGACGGCCTAGCTGCGAGCCTGCGTGGTGGAGGGTGGCGATAGGTTCCTCTGTGACTTGACAGGGGAGGAAGCCGAGTGCGTGTGAGTAAGTCTCCACTTTACTCTTCCTCTGTGTCCGTTAGGTGTTTAAGCGAGCTTATATTCCAAGAACCTTGAATGAAGTGAAAAATTACGAGAGGGATATGGACATAATGATGAAACTGAAGGAAGAGGACATGGCCATGAACGCCCAGCAAGACAACGTGAGTAGCTTGGCTTGTCCTCAGCCGGCGAGTGTACCAAGGAGCTCCCGTCCCCAGCCTGCGGTCTTACATGTTGGCCCCTAACCTATGAGATGGCTGATTCCCTTTGCGTTAGCACCTGCTCTATGCACATTGGTTGTAAAGGAAATCCGTTCGTATTTATGAAAGGAAATGACACACTTGAGTAAGTCCAACAAACTATAGTTGCAGAAAAAGGAAGATTTATATAGAAGTCTAGGCTATAAATGGTTATTATACCAAATCTATTAACATCTACCTGTCAGGGTCTAGAAAATTTTATTCTGCTGAAGGGCCAGATAGTAAATATTTTAGGCTTTTGCAGGCAAAGAAGCAAAATTGGAGCTATTATGTAGGAGAAAAAGTTTCCCCCCAATTTTTGATGAAATTAAAAACTTTAATAATAACTGAATACAGCTTTTTGTGATACAGGTCTACTCACAAGAGAAGAATAGAGTTGTTCGAGGGAGGAGAAAACACTTCATTTAGTTGAGATTCAAAGTTAGAGTTTTCTTCTCTTTCGCGGGGCGGGGGGTAATTTAGCTTTTGTTTATTGATCTGTTTACTTATTTATTTTAGTGGAGGTACTGGGGATTGAAGCCAGGACCTTGTGCATGCTAAGCATGCGCTCTATCACTGAGCTACACCCTCCCCTTACAAACGTAGAGTTTTCTATCATCAAATTGATTGCAGTTGTTTATCTGTAAAGACCATTGGGCGGCAGGTCAGGTTTGGCCCGTGGACCGCAGTTTGCTGGCACCTTAGTGTGCTTGGTGGGTGAGACTCACGCCTGTGCTATGAACTTCTGTGTTCCTGGGAGATAAATCTCAGGCACCTTTTGATAATCACACCAGGTATCATTTAGCCCACAGTTCTTCCTTAATACTGCAGTGGATTTCAGTGTTTAGTTTTATGTTGATTCTTGTTTTTTTTTCCTTTTTGGTTACAAGATTCTGTACCAGACTGTCACGGGATTAAAGAAAGATTTGTCAGGAGTTCAGAAGGTATGGAGACAATGCGTTGCTGTTCATTTACGTAAAGCTCTTTTAAAGGGTGTGAAGTTTAATGTAAAGTATTATTAGAATTAAATTAACAGTGGTACAGTATTACTGGTATAAATACTTTCAAAAGTCCAAGGGCATTTTCGGAAATGACCTTTTCATGTTCGTCCTTTTTAACCAGGAGACTGAAATATGGAAATGCAGCGTTTATTTTTCACTCGGCCTCTGAATCGTTCTGTTGTTGCAGCTGAGGCATTGATCCTTTTTGTCTGTGTCCTCACCTTCGTTTGTGTAGTTAGTAACCATGACCACGTGCTTCTTGATGCTTTTACAACCGGCTTAAACCAGCAGTGGGGTCTGCTCTCATCCCAGTGTGCAGGCTGAGGGGCAGCCTCCCGAGTTGCGGAGTCTCATGGTGATTTCCTGGAGTGCTTTTTTTCTTACAACCACCTTGTTTTGCTTGACGCTTTAGAGCAACAGGGCTTGATTCTAATTTAAGCATTAACAAAGCCGGCTCCTTATTTCTTAGTTCTTTTAATGTCTTAATCAAAGGCTTGGATATGAAGGATCACAGTTTACATTTTGAAAAATGACTGTGTCTTTTTTATGGGAAGAAGTGGATTAGGAGAATTCTAGGACTTCATGGATTTCTGGGTATGACAGGGGAGTTGTGCTCGAAATTCCAGAGCAGGAGGATTCTGTTGCAGCTGGCTAGAAAACCTTTTTGTACAGTTGCCTTTTAAAGGTTTATTTCTTTCTTAGAAAACCTCATGTTTAAAAAAAAATGCTTCTTGCTCCTTTCAAAAGTGGTAAACCTCAGGAAAAATGAATATTTCTCTTCTTTAAATATTGTCTTCCCTCTTGATTGGATGAACAAGTGTTACTTGAAATTTGATTCATAGGAAAGCAGCTGTGAAGTTATCTGAGTAGCTTCATTTTTCACTTCTAGCTGTATTTCACGTCTTCCCAGATCCCAGCTCAGTCCTCCAGATTTACTGAAGGAGGCAGAACGGGCCTGTTGTTGGAGGTCACCCAGGAAAGCCCCAGTTCCTGCACTGGGGTCTGTCCTTGAGCCGTCCTGGGATGGTACCCCAAGCTTCCTCCCTGACACTGATCGCACAGTTTTGATGTTCCAGTGTGGGGTGTTGTTTTTCACCATCTGCCTGCAAGGCTGCGGTCGGAATCCTGGCATTAACACAGTTAGTAACAGTAGATGACCGATGGTTCTAGAATAACACGGATCTGTGATATTTTGAAGGTCCCTGCACTCCTGGAAAATCAAGCTCAGGTAAAGACTTGCTCTGATTCAGAAGATGCTGGAAGCTCTGAGTGTCCTGACACAGACTCTGAAGAGCAGGGAGACCATGCCTGCTCCAAGAAGCCCACCGCTGACCTGGAAGTTGATAAAAAGGTTAGCCGAGAACTCAGGTTCCCTGCCCTTCAACAACGTGGCGGCACCACCTCTCTCGTTGCTCTTTACTCAAGTATCTAGATTGTGGTGGGTGCTGAACACGCTGATCAGTAACTCCCCCCAGCTCAGGCTTCAGTTCCTAAGTGGTGACGTTGTCTAGAGATTGGGCTTCTGCTGGGAGCTCCTTGGGCACTAGAGAGAGGATGCACCAAATGCAGTCCATTGATTAAGTGACTGCCATTCACTTGATGTACCAGCGATGCTGGAGTTGCTCCGTGGTGAAATACTGAAGAGCCATGTCAGGGGGACTTATGGCCCAGCTCCTGTTTCCAGAATCTAAGGCTGTTTCTTCCCCTCCTAGCCGTGGACATCGGAGACACTGCCAATTAAATGACACACAACTGCTGTGTAATGTATTCTTTCTTTTTAGGTTAATTCTTTCAACCTTAAAAAGTGTGGGTTCTGAGACTTCTGAGAGACCTCCCCAACTCCCTAGTGCGCTTTCTCTTTGTCTCCTGGAAATAAATATTTTGCTGTCTTTTCAACCTTTATTTCTGTGAGAATATGAAACATGCAAGGACAAGTAGTGAAAACCTTTAACAACAGTTTCCTCATGGGTATTTCTGTTGGGCTGTCTTCAGATTTCTGTTAAGAAATTTTAAAGACGATTTTCACCCCAAATTCCACCACCAAAACCATAATCATTCTCAATTTTTCCATGTGACACTCATTTTTATCTTTTTACATACATTTTAAAATTCATTTGTAATAATGTGAATACTCTGAATGAATGAATTTTGCAGGTTTTTAAAAATTTTTTGTTTTTGTTTTATAGGAAAGAAAAAAAATGGTCAAGGAAGCCCAGAGAGAGAAAAGAAAAAACAAAATTCCTAAACATGTGAAAAAAAGAAAGGAGAAGACAGCCAAAATGAAAAAGGGCAAATAGAACCAGAACTATATTCTGTGCAGTAATTTTCCGTCAGTCACTTTTCCCGCCTGCACGAAGCTGCATCTGGAGGACGGGGTTATTGATTTTAACTGGCCAGTTTTTCCAGCAGTGTCTGTGAAGACTAATTCAAGTATTTTCATGTAATTATGTAAAAAGCCCTAAGCTGTTCTGTCTAGAACTTCTGGCTCTGTATGGTACTGACCGAGGATTTATTTAAGCTGCTATTTTAACGAAGAACTTTATACAGTTTTATTTTTGTATGTTTTTTTCCTCCTGCAGTATGGTTTTTGAAGCACTGTTAACTATTTAAATGTATTGAGCATCTGTAGCTTTGATACAAGTGTTAAGGGCTCTTTGGACAAACTGTTTTTGCTTTGTGCAGGCCGAAGCCCCGTCTGAAACCACTTGTGAGGCTGTGGTTTCTGCAAAAGGGTGTTTCACTTATAAGAGAATTCAGCTGGCTGTTGATACGACCAGTCCTTGCAGCTTTGTTCTGTGTGCATTGATGATCATTTGTAAAGCACTTACAGCTTCATCTTTAATATTCTTTTTTGAGCTAGGACCTCCTGGTTTGTAAGCAATTTCACAACTATTTGGCCTGTTCATTCATTCATCAAACGCTTGAGTATTTTAGGTACTGAGGATATAGCAGTAAACAAAATGGGCAAAAGTTGCTACGTTCAGGTTGTTTACATGTTAATAGAAAGAAAAGACATTAAACAGAATAAGTAAGGAGCAATGTAAAGGCAGATGATAAATTCTGGAGCGAGAAATAACGCAGAGAAGAGAGATTGCCCGGGGAGGTGGGAGTGTGCAGCCTTAAAACAGGCCACATTGAGAGGCCGTATGTGGGTAAATACTTGAAGGATGTGTCACGTGCATATCAGGAGAGAACAGTCTTCCAGGCAAAGCGAACAGCAAGTGCAAAGGCCCTGAGGCTGAAGTGTGCCTGCAGTGTCTCAGAAACAAGAGCCTAGAGCACCATGGCTAAGGGAGAAAGCAGCCGATGAGATAAGGTGGTGGTAGGTGCTTGGAAGGTTTTGAGCAGAGGAATGATATGATCTGACTTCTGTTTTGAAAGGACCGCGGTCATACTGACGTCCATGGATAATGGAGTAGGAAGCGGGGATCAGGGCCCAGCTGGCGGTTTATTGTGGTAACCCCCGTGAGGGATGCGGGTGGCTTCGTCTAGGATGGTAGCAGTAGGCAGGGGGAACAGGTGGGACTGGGTGTGCTGAGGACACTGGAGGAGTGTTGAGAGTGCAGGGTGGCTTCAGGCTCTCTGACCCCAGCCACTGGGAGAGGCTGTTGCCGCTGCCTCTTACTGGGTAGAGGGAGGAATGCGGGTGCGGCAGGTTTGGGGGCAGGAGGTTGAGACAAAAGCTGATGTTGCAATAAAGTGCAGATTGAAAGAAATGATCTATTTAGCTTAAAAAAGACTTCTTTAACCATATACTTCATATTAGAAATGCCAGTTTCAGCCCTTGAGTCAGAAGCAATTTCTATAAGTAAACATAGTTTCCTTTAAACTGAAGCTTACACCTGCTTGTTTGAGAATTGGTGGGTTATTGAAGGAGGGGTGGTCAGCTGAGGTTTTAAGATTTTAAGTCAGATTTATCATGTTCATAATGTCCTCTCTTCCTGACTTTAAAAAATTTCAAAATACGAAATACAGTTTCAATGAAACACACAATGGCAACCTCTCTAAAATAGTCTGCAATTAACACAGCCAGAGAGAAAGCGAACACAGACGGATGGGTCCAGGACACCTTCGGGGGTTTCATCTTGCAGACCCTCTGGTTCTTGCATCTCTCGGGGCTTCCTCTCTGACCAGGTGTGTTTGAATCACTGGTCAGGCTCAGCGCCATCGTCCGTGACTCTACTGCAGTTGTAGGTTCGGGATCAGCTCCACTCAGCAGAAAGGAGTCTGGGCAGGGCCAGAGGGACATCTCATTCTCATGAGGAAGTGGCTCGTGAAACGCTGAGATTTGGGACTGCAGGGAGAGTGTGATTTGAGGAGCGCTCTGCTGACAGCTTGGCTGATGTGGCCATTTCCCCGCTTGGGTTCTGGGCCGTTATCCCCAGCTGGGTAAGAACCCCCGGCAGGATTCTTGCCAGACTTCTCCGAAACTGTTCCTCCCTTGTTTCTTTCTCACCAAGAGGCCTGGAGAAGGAGCCTGTTCTTGTCAGACTTACAGGGCAACTTGCTGGCTTCGACTGCAGTAGAATTTAGAATTCTTCGTGTCTCCAGATTGTTGATTGTTCAGTTGACTTTTCATTTGGAGAGGTGAGCTTTGGGTCTCTTGGCCCGAGATGTCTTTGGGACATCATTTTGCTGGTTGTCAGTGTATCTGATTTTCTGTCATATTTTGTTAATTTTCCAGTCCCTTCAAATAACGCAGGGGTTTCTAAAAGTTGATTGTGAGAAATCTGGGTGATATCTTTGAAGCAGGAAGTCACGGCGATTTCGTATGCTGCTCTGGTTCTTATTTTTCCTTGGATGAAGCAGTTTAGGAAACAACTTTCTGTTCTGGCCCAGAAGCTGGTCTTAGAGTGAAGAGAAGGAACCGCGCAGCTGCTTGTCTGGGTCTGGTCAAACATGCGTCCATGTTCGGGGCTGGCATCAAGTTTTCTTCAGCTTTCTCTGTTAACTGGATGAAGGTGGACTAGAGAGGTGGCAGAACTCTGTCATTTGATACCAAGACTTGTTTGAGAAGATCTCTCCTTTTCAGGAGTTTCTGTTGAATTCGGTGCAAGCGGCTCACTGTTTCTTGGTTGTGGGTCTGTCCTGTTTTGTGGCCATGATTTCATTAACCTTTTGGCTCAGCAAATGAAGCATTGAAAAAGTTCTGCTGGAAGCTGGTAAAAATTCGGTTTAAGGGCATCTCAAGTGTCATTGTCTCTGAATGATGACGTTTCTAAAAATCCTCATTTTCAAGAGCTTGCGGGTTTTCTAATTTTTAGTTTTTTATGCACATAATAAGTAATGATCACGAGCACTCAGAGCTTTGCTTTGACTTCTGGGGTTTACTTTTTGATGGTGAAAGAGTTGCATGAATCAGCAGCTGAAGGGAGTTCTAGTCCTCAGAGTACTTTTCCTGCGAAGGTTTTCTGTGCCCACGTAAAATGGGTAAGATTTTCAACCATCGGTGACCACACAGCCAGAGATCCCACGTCCTGTGTCGTGAATGGAGATAAGGTTGTCGCCTCCCGTTCGTTTTGGTTGGCGTCTTTAGCTTCCGCATCCTTTGGGTTTGTGTCGCCCTGGACATAAGGGCTTTTATAAATGTTCCGGGGGAGACTGCAATGTCGGGTCTCAAATCGTCGAAGCTAGTTTCTAAAAGAAAAGATGCCTTTCCTGCCTCTGTGTTCTCCAGAGACCTCAGTCCCCGGTGAGCGTGTCGTGGGAACCTCTGAATCTGGAGAATCCAGGCTTGCAGCTGTGGAAGTTTTGGCTTTGGTTTTCAGCTTTCCTTCATTCTCTGTGTCAACTCCACATCCTGCTTTGATGGCTGCCAGTCCCTGGTTGTGAGGAGGTGGCCCTCGTACTGTTGAGAGCCGCCGCACACCCACACAACCTTTTTCCTCTAATTTTTTCCCCAGAACGGTAAAGGCGCCACCCAAGCGGTAGCACAGCTGTGTCTCCATGTCTGAGAGGGTTCCGCGTCTCTCGGCAATGCCTCTTCACAGCTCTGAGGCCGGGCAGCTTAATCATCTTTGGGTGAAATTTTAGCCTTTGCAAAGTTTCTGTAGAGCTGTCATGAGTCCTAAATTTGTTAGTGAAAAAGTGATAGGTCCTTGGGGCCAACGAATTGTTAGAGTTAGAATGCTTGAGCATGCAAGCCAGAGTTCAGATGGGGTGGGGGTCAGAGGACGTGGTGACGGGGGTCAGAGGCTGGGGTGATGGGGCAGGACTTTGGAAGCTGTGCTTGTGCAGAGTTGCCCTTGTTGGTAGCATAGAAGGTGCAGCCGTGGGCAGGGGTGGTGCAGGGGGCGCAGACGGAAGCCCGGAAGGCTGGCAGGTCCAGGAACTGAGGCCAGGGTTTTGGAAGGACCATTCGTGTTAGGACAGGCCGTTTTCGAGTGTTGGTGAGAGACAAGCTTCAGTCTTCAGTGGGCTGGGGGAGAGGGAGGGATGCCTGCAACACGGAGGGCAGTGAGTGGTGTCTGATGACGGGGGTGCCCTCGGCAGAGCCAAAGTTTAATGGGAAAAGGGTAAGGAAGGCCTCGGAGTAGAAGTCAAGGAGATGAGGCTTTGGCTGGTGTCTGACCAGTTGTGGGTCCAGATGGCACCGGGGAAGTGTCTGAGGAGTGAGGCGGAAGGTGTCTGACCCCAGGTGCAGGCCTCATTGTGGGGTCTTGGAAGCTGACCTCAGTTTGTGGGGTCTTGGAAGCTGACCTCAGTTTGTGGGGTCTTGGAAGCTGACCTCAGTAAGCAGGCGAGTGCCTGGAGGACCACGGGGACGAGAGTGGTGCCTGCTGTGGGGCCAGTGTGAAGGACGCTGTGGAGAGCCGGGGAGCTTGGTCGATGGGGCCTATCAGGCTTGGTAGATGAGCTGAAGCCAGTGCTGTCATTACAAGGGGGACAGTCAGACGCTTAGGTGTCCCCATGTGTTGTAAAAAAAAACCAGAACCACCTATAAAGTCTCTTGTCTCCCCCCAAAAACATTGAACCTCAACCTCTGAAGCCTCTGGACGTAATCACGGTTCGCAGGAAACCCACAGCTCATGGCGGTGGGGTAAGTGGTGCTGGCAGGCCAGTCAGCTGCATTCAGAATAAAGAGGACAAAAGAGGAGGGCGAGGTATTAGGGAAAGAGGTCCCGGGGCAGAGACGCCAGTGTCGCGGGACTTCGCCGGGGCCCTGATAGGTCAAACCTATTGTGAAAAGATGGGCTTTGGTGGGGGGTCTCTGTTTAGACAAACAGGGAGAACTAAAAATGGAGTAGGTATTGGATGACACTCAGGACTTGCTGATCCTGCTGGACAGGGCAGTGGTGGTGTTCCTCACTGACCTGTTCCCTCAGAGCAGGGGCTGGGTCCTGCTGGGTGAGATGAATGGGTGCGAGGGTTTGCGTCAAAATTCTCTGCCCTTAAGCGGTCCCTAAAGGACAGCGGTAGACGAAGCGAGGACAGCAGGAGGGTAGTAGCTGTTAAAGCTGAGCCCTGGGGGTGGGGGGATTTACACTGCTCTCGCTCTGTAACAATTTCTGTAAGAAAAGGGCTTTTTTTTTTTTAAATGAGTCAAAGTGTATTAAGTACTTAAACAGGGCTTGTCACATAGTAGTACTGTACTGCACAAGCATCCATATTTTAATTTTACTTGTTATTTTTTAAGTCACTTTTTTGGCCCAGGTGTCAAGGTTTAATCACAGGGGCACAGCTGCAGTGGCTTCTGGAACTGGCCTTGCTCGACGTCACTTGAAATGCCTTTCAGTTCTGAAATTCAGATTCTATTAGTGGGCACAGAACTTGGGTATTGAACGAATGCTGGCAGAATTTTTAGTTCTGCCAAACCCGACCCTCATTTTGGAATACGTCCCCTTCTCTGTGACCCGTCCTGTCCACTCTGTCTGGATTTGTGTCTGCACCTGTACCTCTGGCCCCTACGTACCTTGTTACCTTTACATTATTTTCCTAAAGCTCTTCTAACAGACTAACTCATTTTACTGTGCTTCACATGCAGTGTTTTTTTTTTTCTCAAATTGAAGGTTTGTGGTGATTCTGTGTTGAGCAAGTCTGCTTGCACCATTTTTCCTATAGCATTTGCTCACTGTGTGACTCTGTGTCACATTTTGATAATTCTCGCAATAATTCAAACCCTCCACCAGCAAAGAGATTACAATTCGCTGACGGCTCAGATGATGGTTAGCATTTTGTAGCAATAAAGGAGTTTTTAAATTAAGGCACGTACTTTTTTTAGACATGACGCTATTGCACACGTAACAGATGACTGTATAGTGTGGACATAACTTTGATACACACTAAAACCAGAAAATTCACGTGACTTGCTTCATTGCGATCCTCGCTTTATCGTGGTGGTCTGGAACCGAGCCCACAGCATGTCTGAGGTCTGCCTGTTACGTATTTAGTTTTCTTACATCTATACTGTGTCTGCCTTCACCTCCCAGTCTCTGACTAGAATGTAAGCTCCACAGGGGCAGGGATTTTTTTATCTTTGTTCAGTTTTGTGTCCCAGCACCTAGAATAGTGTCTTAAATACCATGAATGCTCAATAAATATTTAAGTGAATAATATGTTGTGTTTCTTAAAGATAAGGCTATTATGTCAATTGGATGCACCCCCCGTGATGGTAAAAATGAAGACTAGAGGTTGATGTGGATTCATTTGTGCCCTCTGGCCCTCTCTTGTGCAGTTAAGGTGACCGACCTGGCTGAGTCTGGAGACGACAGCACTGTCCCCACCGTGGTCTTCTGTCCTCAGACCCTTGGCATCAGCACAGCTCTCAAGCCAATGGAACAGATGCAGTTTAAACTGGATTGTTGTTTTGACTTGGATCATGTGAGACCAT